AAAAAAAAAAAAAAAAAAAAAAACCCTCCCAAAGCCGACCTCCAAATAAGATAGGAAAAGCAACAAGGGGGAAACTCCCACAAAAATGACCATGGAAAATTCAGTTGAGTAGGAAATTGCAGATAATTGAATGGCTCATCCCCAAATAACATGTCCAACTCTGATGGAGGCAAAGTCTTTATTTTCCAAGATTGGTCAAGAACATAAATCTTTTTGCAACCGAGGTACACGATAGCTGCAGGGAAACGGGCACAGCTCAAGGGAGGGGAAAGGATCTCTACAGAGAACTAAATGATCCATATGGCAATCCCACTCTACTGGACCCAATGATAACCAGACGTATACCCCTCAAACAAAGTCTAGATGCAGAAAATGTAAATCTATTGAGGTAAGACCTAGCTAGGTCTGTGGTATTAAGAAGAGAAAGCAGAGACCACCAAAAAGGGTGATGCACGCAAGCCCCTGAATGTAAATGCATGCAAATGAGACATTTCTTCTTCTTAATAAGCAGATTAATTAACTTTCTGCCCCAATCATGGCTTGGGGTATCTCCAAGTCACTAGCCAACAGGGGATAAGGTATTGCTAATTCTGTAATTTACACTCTTTAAGAATACTCAGGAGCAGAAATACCCCCAAATTGCTGTCTCGATCAGCCCTTTGTCTTGATTGGAGGAGATACTCGTAGGGTCCACCCCAAACTTGTACTGCAACTCAACACAGTAAAGTCCCTTGCCAGGATGAGATTAGGGGAGGCATTACACTGGGCTGCTTGGAACTTGTTCGAGAAGACCCCAGGGCAGGCCAGCATGCTTAGTTTCAAGTTTCATTACAAATCCAAAAGCTGGACTAAATTTGCTGCAAGGTTTGTCAAAACACACAACCTTCTAAAGACGAGATTTCAAACAAATTTGGCTTGATTTATGTTTTGGAATGATGGCCACTGCAAAATCTAACGGTTCCTTGTGTTTAGATTCCCAAACTAAGGACGTTCCAAGAGTTTAGTGCCTGCCTGAGTTTGTGTTTACGTGGCTTTTTCGGAAAAAGAAGCAAAGTAACACCTAGCAGGCATGTGCAGCCCAATATTGATAAAAGAAAAAAAAAAGAAAGAAAGAAAGAAAGAAAGAAAGAAAGAAAGAAAGGGAAAGGAAAGGAAAGGAAAGGAAAGGAAAAGCTCAAAGATCCATTTGGGGACCTTCTTTCTAATAGAAGGTAAAATTTTGCTCTCATAATTCTTGCAGACCATTCCAAGTTATCATTGGAAATACTGCTTCCCATTAGTACCTAAAGGCTAACTGCAGAAAGATCGGAAACCTTGTACTGCTTGGGCCACATAGCTTCTCATCTTTGCTGCTTCAAGAGTCTGCACACTGGCCTCCCTGCTCAGATTCACAATTCTTTTCTGACTGGGGATTGGTCTTTGTCATTATCAGAATGCTGGCTGCAGAAAAGAAAAACCGCTCTTCCCTCATGGTTTCCCTTCACGGTTTCCCTGCCACCAGTAAGAAAATGTCCATACTCCTCGGTGAGGCACACAGGGCCCCTGCACTCACTCCCTCTCTCTCTCTGTCTCCCTCTCTGTCTTTATCACACACACACACACACACACACACACACACACACACACCCCTTTCGTTTGTTTGTTTGCTTGTTATCCTTGGTCTTCCTAAACTTTACAATCCTGTTCCACACACATGTGCACATTGTACTTTTGGCCCTTGTTCACCTGTAAACTCTTATTCGACCTCTATCCAATTAAATTATCACCTCCCCTCTGAATCTTTTTTCATTAATCCTTCATGAATTCATTTATTCCACGGGTATTTCATTCACGGTAGAAGGGGGCCCGGAGGACCGTAGCACTGGTCAGAGCACTTTTCAATTCTGGTTCCACCACCTGCCTGCCCTGGGAGCTTCGGCAGGTGACTGCATCTCTCCGTGCGTCTGTCACACTGTTTTCAAACCAGAAACAATGAGAGTAACCACCCATAAGATTGTTGCAAAGGATTAGATGAGATAACACGCTGCAATGTACTAGAACCCATACATATAGGGGTGCCTGGGTGGCTCAGTCGGTTAAGCACCCGACTCCTGATTTTGGCTCAGGTCATGATCTCATGGTTCGAGGGATCAAGCCCCGCATCGGGCTCTGTGCTGAGTGTAGAGCCTGCTTGGGATTCTCTGTCTCCCTCTCTCTCTGCCTCTCCCCGGCTTGCTCACACACACACTCTCTCTCTCTCTCTCTCAAAAATAAGTAAACTTAAAAAATACTTTTTAAAAAGCACCCACACAGGGGCGCCTGGGTGGCGCAGTCGGTTAAGCGCCCGACTTCAGCCAGGTCACGATCTCGCGGTCCGTGAGTTCGAGCCCCGCGTCAGGCTCTGGGCTGATGGCTCGGAGCCTGGAGCCTGTTTCCGATTCTGTGTCTCCCTCTCTCTCTGCCCCTCCCCGTTCATGCTCTGTCTCTCTCTGTCCCAAAAATAAATAAACGTTGAAAAAAAAAATTAAAAAAAAAAAAAAGCACCCACACATATAAATTCTCAGAAAATGTTATTATTGTTAGGTACCTAACATACACTTAGGTGCTAGGGAACACCGGGAGGCCAACGTGGGTAGCAGACATGCTCCCTGTCCTCTTGTCCCTTGCAGTCCATTGAGGATGAGAAAGGACACAACATCGGAGAACTAAAAAGCCTTTGGGAACCTAATTTCAAACTGTGGTGTGCGCTATGAAGGAAATACAGCGGTCTCCACCTTCTCCGGCTCCCTCTCTCCAACGATCTGACTGTATTGTACTCACCCCACTTGTGAAGATGTGAGGTGATAACATGCCAGCGAGATCAGATATGAAGGAGGTGAGTGACATAGGCATGTGACGCAGCACCAGCCTACTGTTGACATTCGTCAGAAGGAGAAGCTTCTGCTTTCAGCTGGTACTTGAAACTCCAGAAAGCCAAACTGTGGAGACGGGTGAGAGGGACTGCCATAAACAAAAGGAAGGGACAGAAAACAATGTCCCCATCTCGGTCAACACTGGATCTTCTGTTTTCTTCCAGTGGAGAACTTACACGTCAACGTGCTCACTGCTGTCACTTAGTAAGTCCTTGCTATGTGGGAAGCACTATGCTCAGTGGAATACACAAATATTCTTTATTGATCTCGAAGTAACCCCCACGTGATTCGTTTGACCGCTGTCCCCATTTTACAGATATGGAAACTGGGGCTTCAAGCTGCTCCGAAGCTTCTTCAAAGTCATACAACTGGTAAGTCACGGGGGCAAAATCCTTACGCACTTCGCGGCTCGACATCCAGGTCCATGTTCGTCTCTGGGGCATCTCTGTTCTTTGGCCTCGGTGGCTAGTGTGGTGCTGGGCCCCCAGCGGGCGCTCAAACCACACACGCCTGAGTAAGTGGAGGAAAAGACAAGAGGGCGAAGTGCCTTCTTTGTCCTGCTGAATTGCAGGCACCCCTTGTCCCCCACCCCCACTTCTGCCCATTCTCCCTGAAGCCCGGCCTCATTACTTCCCCTTTTATTGCTGCCCCAAATCTTCCAGAACGTTCTCCCCAAATTGCAGGTATCTGTTTAACCCTTTGCACCACCAGGTCGCCTGGCTGGTTTTGCCAGTTCCCTATTTCTTTTTTTTTTTTTTTTTTTTTTTTTTTTCAACGTTTATTTATTTTTGGGACAGAGAGAGACAGAGCATGAACGGGGGAGGGGCAGAGAGAGAGGGAGACACAGAATCGGAAACAGGCTCCAGGCTCTGAGCCATCAGCCCAGAGCCTGACGCGGGGCTCGAACCCACGGACCGCGAGATCGTGACCTGGCTGAAGTCGGACGCTTAACCGACTGCGCCACCCAGGCGCCCCA